CCCCCGCAGCCTGTGCTTCCCGCCAGGTCCTTCGTGCCTGCCTGGAGGGCTTCTGGCTGCCCAGGGGCTGAGGCCGTGCCTCTTCCGGCAGCGGGGCGTGATCCTCTTGATCCTGCCGCCCCCCAAGGGGGAGCGCCCTTCCGCAAGAGAAGAGGGCGTTCTGCTGGCGGCGGTGGTGGTAGTCTTATGTTGTTTTCGCGGGGCGAACGGGATAGCAGTGAAACAAAGCCCCGTCTGGTGGACGCAGCTGAAGCAGGGCGGGAGCTTTGCGGGGAAGGGATTTGGCGACAGGCACTCATCCTCAGCGCGCTTTCCTTTCACCCGGGCTGGGTCCTGTCATTCCTGACTGAAGTTCTTGGCTTCCTGTTGAGTTGTAACAGGAGAAGATTTTGTTGGCAGTACAGTCTGCAGCAATTGCGTTTATCTAAAAGCTTCTTGAAAACTATGAATAAAAGCTGCTCTTGCAAGAAAACATGTATTTGCATGAGTAGAGCTGTAGTGCCAAGACTGTATTGTAATCAGTCTGTTAACTAAATTCATCGGTAACTCTCTGCTGTCCTCTCCTTTTTTTAAGGACTGCTGAATTCATATAAGGAGAACACACAGGTTTCTAGGAAGTGTGGAATTTACAGGACAGCTGAGCTCATAATAATCGGTAGGTTGGTTATACTACGGGGGGGGAAAGCTGTCATGGGTAGCTTTTGAGTGTCTTTTCTAGGTAGAATAAAACATTACTCATCACAGCAGGAAGGCAGGTCTCTTCTGGAATAGAACGATACAGCTTCAGTAATCTTTTGTGATCGACACTGTATAGTGTGGTGTGACTTGCGTGTTATACTAAATGCTCTGTTAACTGTCCTTTAACTGTGCTGACACTCTTGTTTTATGAATACAGCCTTAATGTAGAGAGCAGCCTTAAATAGTTGCCAATAAAAGAAAATGCCCCGTTGTGTTTTATTTGATAACTTATTTTAGTAGGAAATAAAACTGGATGTTACTTGATGTTCAAATTGGTGTTCAACTTCCTTTATTCAGTAGGACTAATACCTTCTTTACATGCTCTAATAATTATTAAATTGGGTATGTTCCAGCTTTATCAGATATTTATTACTAAGAGTAACTGATTGGCAATCACTTTGCTGTTCTGGCAGAAAGCGGTCCTGTAAAAAGACCATTAAAATCCAGTATGAGTCTTATTTTATCAATTAATTTTTATTAGGTTCAGGGAAAGTAGATGCAATCCATGTAATATAAAGAAGTTCTTAAAGTAGACAGTCTTCCCTGCCATCCTGTGGTTTCTGTTGCCTTGCTGTTTACAAACCTTCATAGATCATATCTAAATTATTCCCCATGCCACCCCCAAGTAATATTGGAAAGCTAGTGCAGTTTTGAAGCCTAAAATTCAAGAGCTCATGACTAAATTTGATAAGATGTAGCCACATTTTGTGTATGAAAGTGAAGGTCTCTGGCTACATTTCTTGGAAATGTTAGAAAGTTAGGGGTCATCCTCAATCTATGTAACACAACCCTAAGAACAGCAGCATAGAATGATATTTGAATATCTAGATCTGGAAGACATTAACCATATTATTGAAAGCTAAAAACAGGATCTTTAGTTCAGTGTTTCCTAGACTGTTGAATCAGTTGGTTAATCCACCAACTGCTCGTTTCACTGAATGGCTGATCTGAGTATTCCAATATCATCAAAAAGTTGTTTATAAATGCGATGTGTATGAAACATAATGTTAGGAATGCCAAATTTCTGATGAATTGACATGATTGATGTCTTCAGATAACGCAAACTGGTACTCAGATAACACAAACAGAGCTGAACTTTCATGATAAAACTTTGTGTAATCCCATAGAAATACAGCTATGATTTGAATAATCAAAGAACTACTTGGTTTGTAAGTGTTTTCCTCCAAAGTCAAAAGTCAAACATAACAATACTATGTAACTGAGAACTTAGAAACAAAATGTCTGTGGTTACTCAACTTGGACAGTGAAATGTGCAAAAATAAATTTTAGCCATGGTGAGCAGTACTTTCCTTTTACAGGAAAATGTAGGTCTGTTCCTCCCCCCACCCCCCCCCCCCCCACCCCCCATCCACCAGCCCTATGTCCTTGTTTGCGTGGTTACTGCGCCACCTTGTGGACGTTATTTGAGCGTATGTAGCAAACGTTAAAACATTTTGTAACGTAGAAAGTTCTGTGTTTAGCAGCGTGATGCTTAGGCGTGTAGATGCTTAGCTGCGACTTTCTGTTCTCAGTGGTGGTAAATAAGGATCTACCTTTTATTTTAAGTAGTTACTTTTCTGAGTCATATGCGAATTCGTGCTTCTTCCTCCCCCCATTGTCTTTATAAACTTGAAAAATGTAAATAACCTTTATTTATGTGTGCAACTTATAAAATGGACAAATGTGCAAAATTTCGTTTAGAAAGGTAGTCTTCTAACATGTTTTCATGAAATGTGGAAAAAGTGTCTTAGGAAAACAATTATCTGCATGTAAACATTTTATTTCATTGCCTTCCACCAAACATGGAAATATTAAGCATTAAGTTAAGCAGTGAGAATAAAAAAGCAAGCTAATATAATTTTCCCTCTGCATCAGGAAACTTGTTGGTTCTGATTTATGGGAGACTCTGGGCAGAGAAGAAAGGAACTTCTCTGGATTCCTGATATGGTGATTTCTTGCTTCATTCAGGAAAGAAGTGGGAGTGTCTTAAAACCCAGCTTTCTCCACACCTCTAGGTCCTTCTGTTGTTTTTTTTCTCGTAAGTAGCTCAGGAGAAGAAACCATCAAGAGGGACTGATTCATCCTATAGGGATTGTGGTGTCCTGCTCCTCAGCCCAACAGGACTGTAGAAGCCCATGAAGTGTGTGCTCTTGGCCTGCTCTTTGGGGACAGCCTTTTGATTTCTGTCTACTTATTAGATATCTGCAATGTTATTGCAAACTTCTATAGTACTTCTAGGTTCCTTTTGCACATTAAACATTTAATTTATTGAATAGATGTGTAGATAGGCTTTCAGATTAAGGACAGGTGTCTATTCTTGATAACTTGTATGTTGATTCCTGTTGGGAAGTCTTTAGCAGTTCAATGTGCTTAATGTTCAGAAATGCTTGTACAAGCCTAGAGATCATTTTCTAGGTAATTGTTTTTCTAAACAAAAATATTAGTATTGGAAATTAAGTATCATTTTCTGAGAATTTCTAAGTTTAGACTTTTGCTTTCTTTAAATTGTTTTATGTTGGAAACCTTAAAACTAAAACATCCCTTATTTTCCTTACTTTATCTAAACTACACAGAAAATGATATTTGAGTCAGGTTATTTTTTATTTTTCCTTGCATGAAGGATAACCTAATTTAGAAACTGAACTCCTACCTTCAGAGGCTTGTTCACAGAAATTTGCAGGTTTTTAAAATTCTTTTGGCATTTTGACCAAATCTGTTACGTTACGCAATTCTTAATATGGAAGAAAAAATGCACAGAATTCAAAATCTCGTGTAAAACATGTTAAAAGGCAGACCAGGTGTGCACTACTTAGTGAAATATATTAGTGCCTTTGCATAAAGAGTTCCATCTAAATGCTTCTCTCCAAATAATCACTTTGGATCTTAATAATGTTCACCTAGCTTTTAGAATCAATTTTCCCCAAAGCAATTGCTATATTTTCATCATATTATTCTTATACTTTACTGCTGATATTTATTCTAGAGCAATTGCTTGTTTACCCTGACATTTTTTATCCAGCATTTTTGCTCATAGTTTTCTCGGGGAAATTTCTATTGCGTTTTCCCAACCATTTGCTGCTATTTTTTCTTTTTTCAGTGTTTCTTCATACTTAGCATCCTCATTATGTTATCTATATAGTATTCTGTTCATGTGGACTTAAATTCTGGTAGGATGGTAACTTGCTGTCTTTATTTTAGGTTAGAGCATTACAGTAACTCATCCTCTCATTTCATACCTATTTTTATTACTCTTGAAATTCCTCTCATCTGTCAGTGTTCTTGAACACAGCCCCTTTTCTTGTCACCCTATTGTCTGCTATTGCCCTCCAGCATAAATATTTTAAATTATATTAAATGATCTCTGATCATTTATAGATCACTGTCTAATCTGACGCTCCTAAACGTTAGTATTTAGCACTGATAAGGCCTTTCAGTCATGAACCTCAAAAGTACTTACAGGCCCCAATCAAGCCCTCCATGACCAGCATAAGTTATTTGATTATTTTAAGCCATTGTAGCCTGCATGAACTGAGTACGCTTATCTACGTGTTTTGCTCATGTCCAGTGACTGAACTTGAAGGATTTTAATATCCAATGTGATTTGAAAAAATAATTCTGAGAGTACTGATCTGTGAAGTGGTGCGGCAGTTAGGACCTTTCATTTGTATTATTTATCCGCAAGAGGTACTGTTGGAGAATGCATTTGAGTAAGATGTCATTAGAAGGTTTTCAATTAGTGAAATATACTCTGTCAGCTCTCTGTCCATGGCATTGATAGCTTTTATCCGCCTTATCTGAGAATTCTGTGAACAGCAGTGATTACTATTGTTAGTTTAGAAAGAGTGACCCTTTCCTTGAAATACTTCCTCTGCCTTCCTGAGGTGTGATGTGCACGCTACTTATTAGCGTTAGTCTTGCTTTTTTATGAGCCGACTAGCCTAGATCACAGATTTGGGAAGAGCTGTCAGAGACTGAATGATGAAGGAATTTAATAATCAGCTTAGGTTTGCATGTGTTAAAGTAGCGCAGAGTCATTGAGCAGTCACCCTCTCAAGGAAATGCTAACTCAAGTACTATCCAGAATATCTACTGATAAATTTAAAACATATTGCCTTAGTATGGCAGGCAGTCAAAAGCTGGTGGCAATAGCACAGCATGGTTTTTAATCGCTTTGCTGTTACAGTCATGCTCCTGCTGTCATATTTCTAAAGGTTCATTTGTTAATTTGTGGAATAGATTGCTTAAGCGCCTTGTACAGCTTCCAAGTTCTTCTGTGCTAAGGTGTAGTGCAATATTACACTTCCAGATAGCATGGAGACTTTTGAAAGAACGTATTAGAAGTGTTTGCAGCAATATGTGGACTATATTATCATGGGTCTCAAGAGGCTTTTAAACCTGTTTGCATTCTTAACATTTTGTTTGCCTGTGGGAATGTAACTCTCGTTAAGCTGAACACACGATGGGAAATATTGGGTAAATTAGTATAGATGCCTTCTCAAGCAAATACATTACTTAGGTTTTCCAGGAACAGTAGTCTGGATTACAGCTATCAGCACTGCAGTTGAATATTGGGATTTTACAATTGTAAAACCTAACCCCTGACTAATAGTATTTAGAATGTCTGTTTAGAATGGCGTGTTAAAAGTGTGATGGCAACTTAGCACAAGGTATAGTGGCATTTCCTTTATGTATCGCAGAGAAAAAGGTGATCTCAGAGAGGGGAATGATAAAATACTGCATAAACAAACAAACAAACAAAGGCACCTCTTTAATTCAGTGCCAGTGTGGTTAATGTAAGTAAAATTTTGTCAAGATGAGCCCATTTCTCCTGATGTGAACCAAGCTTTTCTTCCTCCCTCCCTCGTACAGAGTGATCTTCCGCAACAAATATGTCATCTTATTTCGTCGCTTTCGTCCTTTCCAACAAAAGATCTTGGAAAATCACTTTTGGGCATTTTTTTTTAATGGAAAGTAACATATAAATGTATTTCCAGCATGGAGTTTGCTCCAGCCTCACAGAACTTTGCAGTAATGGACTTGGGGGCCCTGGTTGGCATTAAGTTAAACATGAGTTAGCAGTGCACCCTTGCGGCAATAAAGGCTTACAGCATACTGGGCTGCTGTAGCAGAAGTGTAGCTAGCAGGTCAAGGGAAGTTGTTATTTCCCTCTTGACACTGCTGAGGCCACATCTGAAATTTCATGTTCAGCTTTGGGCCCCACGGTCCAAGACAGCTGTAAGAAAAACTGGAGTCCAGCAGAGGGGCAACCAAGATGGTCAGAAATTGGAACAGATGGCATGTGAGGAGAGGATACGGGAGCTAGGCCTGTTTAGCATTGTAAAGAGAAGGCTGAGGAGAAACCTAAACGTTGTGTTCCACTATCTAAGGGAGGGGCGGGGTTGTCACACAAATGGTGTTTTTCAGAGGAGCTGAAAAGGAGGATCCAGATGTTCTTCAGAGAAGCGAAATGACAGGGTAACAGGCAACGAGGTGAAGTGGCAAGAAGGGAAGTTCTAACGAGGCTTAAAGAAGAAAATAAAAATAACCCTTGCGATTAAGTATTGTTTTTTAAAGCATCATCAGTGCTTTGCATCCGAATTCTTAAAAACACGTAGATAACAACTAAAAAAGATGCCGGTTCTGAGTGCTGTAATGAAATATCGTCGTAGCTTCCTCATGCGCTTCCTGTTCTGTATCCATCTGTGTGTGAGGTGGAAAGAAAACTACTTATTCTTAGCTTTTTCTAAGCTAGAAACAAGGAAACTGAAGTGAGAAGATGAAAAGATAATCTGCAGTTCAAGAAAGATTCATACTGTTAGGCAGTTTCTGAAAATGAAATGTATGCTTATGTCTGTGATCCAGCAAAGAATATATAAACTTGTCCTTAACTTTAAACTGCGGGGCTGCATAGATAAAGAAGAGGCATATGCTAGTTTTAATTACTTTAACTGTTTAATGTAATGTAAATTATACGTATTATGTTTCATTTTGGTTTAAAATATTTTTATTAAAATTGTAATGTGCAATAAGTAGTGTAAACTTGAAGTTTTTAATTCTACTTCCATATTTTAATATTGGCAGGGGGAATTTTTCTCAGATTTTTGTCCTTGAGCTGCTTAACTTATCCCTAACTCAAGATGCATCCAGACTTGTCTCCTCATCTGCACACTGAAGAATGTAACCTAGTTATCAGTCTGCTCAAGAAGTGTCACAAAGAGGTAAGGAGTTCTGAGCAGAGAAAAAAGTGGGTGGGTTGGGGAAGTGAGTGTCAGATAAATTAGTTAGAATATTATATGATCACAGAGAGAAATGTCTCCTTCAGGCAGAACAGCCATGAAATATAGCTAGTACATTCTCACAGAAGAAATATCTGACAACTCTATAAAAACCGTGCCAGTGATTTCATTACGAACGAAAACATGACTTAAGATCTCTTGTGCTAAAGCTTGACAAATATGGATCTATCTCTAAAGCTGAAGTAATTTCTTAACCTTTTAGTACTGTGTGCCTCTCAAACAAACAAAAAAAAAACAAAAGAAAGGCAGAATTATTATTTGGCTTCAATATCCTTAATAGGCACCTACTAAAGGATGTAAAATACTGTATTGTCTTCAGGCATCTCAGGGTTCTTCATTACTTCAAGCAGATAGAAATTTAATCTCATTCATTTAAAAGCATTTTATTAATTTGCTCTGTGGCAAACTTCTAGATTTAGAAAAATCAGCCCTTGCAGTGAAAACTGTCTGCAGCATTGTAACACTATTAATAATTTTCCCAGTTGTTTGAGTTTCTCTAAATAGATGTGCTGTACAGATATATTTCTGTATCAGTGCATAAAAAATCAATTCAATTCTTTGTCTTAGTGAAAACTATGAGTGCATTTATTTGAATGTTGAATATTACTGAGAAGGCAATGGTCTACTGTCACATGCAATCCAAAATATTTTCACCTCTATGTTCGGATGTGATGTTTATACTTTTTTCAGAAGGTATTGTCTTAGAATTTATTTATAAATGCATGTATTAGCTTTACTGTTTTGTGCAGAATTCTTAGCTTTTTCCTTCCAAAAGCTATTACAGACAGAGAAAATGAGGTTGACAATACAGGAAATATCAGTGAAGGTGCTCTGCAAAATAGAGGAAGGGATAAAAAATGTTTTGCAGATCTGTTTTTAAAGTAGCTAAACTAACATATAGAAATCTTACAGTAACATGCTTTCTTATGATTTCTGAATTACAAGGTATGGAGAGGAGTTTGAATACTAAAATTCACTTGCAGTGCTGGGATGAATGTACTGTACTGGGTTTGTTCAGCAAAAGTTTTTTTTTTTTTGAGGCTTTTATTGCAATATCTTGAAATTTAAGCACATTAAAGACTGTCACATAGTACTTCTCCTACCATTGCCTCCCAACTGTCTGATACAGAATTCTTATGTGGAACACCCCCAAATTTTACAATTTAAAAGGTCTATTAAGTGTTAAGTGTTATACTTTTCTTCTGAGTTCTAAAATCTTAATCTACCTAAATAATGTTTTAGGTAATTTGAGAGATTGTAGAGACTTCATTTTTTTTAGCTGAAGTTTTTTTAAACAAGTTTAATATTGTACAAGTGTTCAGTAGTTAGAATTAAGCTAGAAGACTCTCCTTGTACATTAACTACTGTGCTATCAAAAGGATTACCAAATAAAATGACTCACTCACTAACAGTTAGGAGGAGAATAAAACTTGTATAGACGATGTAGAATTAAAATTTTGTCATTAATTTTTCATAATTGTGAAAATAAAGCCAATTAGGACAGAAAATAAACTCCTTTCAGATTTGCCCTGCGTTTTGATACATACATAGCTGGGCTTCTTTGAATTTCTTGGCAGCAGTGATTCAAAGGAATCTATTATTGCTGGTAATAGTCCCTAACTTAAGTCAAACTGGTAATAAAGTTGTGCAAAGGATTTTATTTTCGTGGTTTGGTTGGAAGCTGGTCTCTTTAGATGGTGAGAAGCTACTTTTTTCAGTCTAGTACTCGACTATGAGAGGATATTTGAGCTAACCGTCCCAGAACAAACACAGTAAAGATTGCTTCCTTTTGACCGGGTGTGAAAGAAGATGCACTTTTTCATTTAAAATTGAAGTGAAATGTACTGAAGTATTGTTTTAAAAATGAAGTCCCTGAAATATGAAAAGGCAGTCATATTAATCACAGCTATCAGTGACTACCTACTGCTTTGTCAAAATGCCAAAATTGCCTGAGAACCTCTACATATAACTTAAATTACTATTCCTGAGGGATTACAAGTATTGTATTGAATTGGGTGTCCTATATGTGTCTTTTTACAAAAGTCAATTTAACTCACTTTATTCCTAATCTAGAACCTGCCCATTATATGAAGTCTGGTGTCTATGGAAAGAGGTTAATGGGATTCCTATTTGATGTCATTATTTTGATTCCTTTTTTTTTTTTTTTTTCTTTTAACAGCTCCACTCTTATGGCATTTAAGACTACATGTATTTCAGCTGTCATGTAAGTGCCTTGTTTTTACATGTGACAGCTGAATGAAATACATACAGTCTTACAATCTTATCACAGTAATAGGAGTAAGACGTATTTCTGAAAAGCTGATTTCTTTTTCTTTCTCCTCATAATCTGATCCGAAAAGAGTTGACAGCTTAGGAGTCTGGCTAAGTAAACACAGATTCATGTCATTGTTTGCACTAGGAAGAGTGGAGTTAGCTTGAAATGCAAGTGCTCATCTTGAAATTTAGCATGCTAATATGGGAATAGAATAAAAATTACATCTGTGTTAGCTAAAATTTAAAATGTTGTAAAAGCAAGATCAGCCTGCAGTAAAGTGACCGTTTATTACATGCAGCTGCTTCAGAGTGTCATCTGATGCCCTCTGTAAAGCAGAGAGGTATAAACATGCTAATTATAGCACTGCTGTAGTTAAGTGTCTCTCATCTTTATTAACCAACTGCTATTTCTAGTCATAAACGTTCTCCTGGCTGAAATCTGTCTTGTCCACTATTTGAATTTTTAATAGTGTCCACTGTATTATTCGTATAAATCCATTTATCTGCTCATCAGCTACAGAAGTAAACATAGGTTTCTCCCTGGAATAGGGAAGCGACTTCATTCTCATCTGTTTTGTACTCTGTGTTCTATTCTTTCATTAATTCCTTCTCAAAGGATTGGTCAAATTGACTCTGTTCACTGTATAGCTGTAAATATTTATTTAAAAACTCCAGTCTTTCAGGTTTTTTGAACTGTTTGGATACTCTGCTACCAGATTCTGCTGCAAAACTATATGGCACATTAGCAAGTATCACTCAGAAAAAATTAGTCCTGTTAGAAGAAGAACCGCTTCTGAGAGACCTTTGGTGGCTGATAATATGAAATCACTTCAGGAGATCCTTGCTAACGCTTTTTTGAGGTCAATATAATTAGGTTATTTGGGTGAGGCCTATATAGACGCTTTGTTGAAAACAATGCCTGCAGTTTTTCAGAAGCTTGGTAACATTCAAGTATACATAAAGCCCCCGGTTGAGCTGTGCCTTAATGATAGTAAACATGTCTATTAACCTTAAGATCTGAGAAACCAGAAAAGAATCTTTGGTTATACTCAGAGAACCTTAACCCTCCTATTTCTGTACAGTTTCTAACATTGCAGTGACCTAGGTCTAGCGGCTGCATCTCTTGAATCAACAGCATGTTATTCATGTGGTTGGGATGATGAAACTGTAGCACTGAGTCCTTGCCCCTCTTCAGGTCAGGAAGAAGTACTGAAAACTATGCCCTCTCTAAGGCAGAGAGGGCATTGCCTCCAGGATGGCTGTAGGGTCCTGCTACATCTTTCTAAATGAGGAATTCGAGTTCAGAACACAATTTTTTGTACGTTATTCAAGTTAGCGTGAGTGAAAGTTGTAAGACTGATTGCTAGATGAATAAAATCTGTGTTCTACCTTTAGACTTCATTAACTTCATTGCTTCACTCTGTGCATCTTATTTTAGTCTGATTATACAACATGGTGAGTTCCTTCAACTTTCAGCAAGGCAAGGGTAGCTCAGATGAGGTTTGGGAGTAGTTTTGACTTTGAGCTACTCAGTGAAAAAGTTACAAATCATTGTTTTTCACAAAAAGAGAAAAGGAAACGAAGACCAGGATATATTGCAAAATTCAGATATCTTCTAAGAAATTCAGAGCTTCAGAACTTTTGAATTGTTAAATTTGTTTTTCTCTCCTTAACTTATTAGCACAACATTTTGAAATTTTTTGGCCATTGCAATGACATTGACCGTGAGATGCGGAAGTGTTTAAAGAAAGAGGTAAGATACACATTTTAGTGAGTTAATGCTTAATTTTAAAAGTCCATAGGATGGCTGTAGAGTGTGATGGTTTTTTGTTTTTTTTTTGTTTGTTTTTTACTACGTACAGTGCAAATCAATAATTAGGCCTTAAAATGTAAGCACATTCTGGAGTGAGCATGTGAGACCCAATTTTCATTTTTTTTGATGAATTTATCAATTGTCAGGTAAAATTGTATGAACAAGGCCTGAAATTGTGTTGAGACCAATGTGAGCAAGGAACATGCATCTCTCACTTTGCTTCTACTATTGGTAAGATCTGGCACTGAAAGTTACAAATGAGATAATAAAAGATACTTTCTATGAAAATACAAGATATGAAGATAGAAGTGTCTGTGCTGATATGATTTCAGATAATTTAGCAGATTTAGTTTCTTGCTGGTTTTATAATTTCAAGATTCTCTTGTCAAATTACCAGTCTTGAAATAATTGCTGAATACAATTTGGAATGTTTATTTCTTGCACAAAACTTTAAAATAATGATTGCTTTTTATATCTCATGAAGCCAGGTGGAAGTCTTTGGAATGTTCCTTACAAATCGTGCAGTTCAGATGTGTATCTAGTTTTAACTAATGGTGATCTCCATTTCTGGAGATGCAGAAAATAGGCCAAATACACATAGTAACAAAACAAAAATACTGCACATAGAAACTGATGCTCCATAAGTTACTTCTGTTTTTTCTTTTTTCTTTAAAAAGCAAATTGTCTTGGTATTCTTTGATAGCAGTATCTGCGCCATAGAGCATATAAAGTAGTAATGGTCAATTTTGCATGAGTAACACTTGTTACTGAACTCGGTAATACTGCTTTCTGTGAAATTATTTGATGAGCTGCTGAATTAGGCCCTAAATGGATCTTCTGAAAATAATGTTGCTGCTTAGGACCTGCTTATTACAGTACTGCATCTGCAGATACAAAGGAAAGGGAAAGCTCTAGGATTTTACATAGATGAATTAGCTAATGGACAAATTTTCAAAAGGGTATCAAGTGATCTTTACATTTTTCATGCAGGTATGACAGAACACACAAAACAAATGAACTTTTCACACACCTTTTAACTTAATAATTTTGCCATAAATTCTACAATCTTGTCTGGAAAGGAAGACTTAAATGCATGATAACCAGAATAGTTTAGTCTCCCTCTTTTCCCTCCCTTGTCCCTGTCAATCTGTGGGAATTAATTTTGTTTGCTTTGTGTCAAATAGCATTTTTTTCCTACTATATAAAAACTGTAGCACAAATTTGGAAATAATGAAGTTTCCTTCCGTGTAATGCCACTTTTCTTTCTTCCACTTTTCTTTCTTCTTTCTTCCATAGCCTTTACGTTAATAAGACTTCATGAAGACTGTCTGCCTTCTTAAAATATGGCTACGTAGATATGTTATTACTATGAGGTCCCTGCAAGGCTGTTCACAAGAACACAATAGGTACAGGTGTAACTTTTTAAAGATCTAGTGTTCTCATTCTACAGAAGTATGGATAAATTAGTGAAAAATTAAATATTGTCAGTGTAGCGTGGAACAAAATTGAGGTTTCTGTAAACGTGAGGTAATGTTGCAGACCATTATTTTAGTTACATGCCAATCAGTACAATGGGTGAAAAACTGGAAATGTTTACCAAAATCTGTCTATTTAGTACTTTATTACGGTATATAGATATTTGAATATTTGAAGGTTATTTTGTTTTTTTTCTTAATACCTATTATGTTAAAAATGAACAAATGTATGCTCTAATTCAAGGCCAAGAATAACTTGCTTCTCATTAAATATATGGCAAATCATGCATTGATTTGAAATTTTTCTTAAGCCATGAGAAAGATTTCCCTTTTGGCTCCAATGAAAGACAGTTAAGATTTTTAGTCTTCAGAATTTTGCTAGTGCAGGAGCATACTTCAAAGCATGTGCTTATGCATGTATCTAAATTGTGAAGGTTTCCATGATTTTCTGTCATGCTGAAGTCCTTCCTCTGTTGCGTGTTTTTTCTATCATAAAATATACCCTCATTCAACCCAAATTCGCTTTTGTTCTTTTCACCTTGGTATACTACTGTTATCAGTGCATATAATTAATAACCAGGATCAAAAATGGACCAAGTGTAGGATGACAAATTCATGTTTCAGAAGGCAGAGACGCTTAAATCGGTGCTTCTTTGAAAGGAAAAAAGCCTTTACCAGTGGTCTAGAATAGTACCTATGTAACTGTTTTCTAGTTCTAATATATGCGTGAATAAAGTGTAGCTGTCATACATAAGATAGCTGTATAATTAAGTTTCTCCATAAGATTAACTGAATATTCTTTTTTTCGAATGTTTTAATACTCTTTAGTTTAATAACATCAAGCTTAGAAACATGTATTATAATCAAATGTTAATTTCAAAGTAAAAATGAATCAGTATATTGATATTAAAAAGAACTGCCTTTCTAATGCATCACTTTCTAATGCAATGATACTGCTTCTGTTCCTGAGTTCTCTGTTCCCTCTCTACACTTTTAAATTTGACTTGACTGTTTAATGACATAGCTGATGTATTAATTTCCTTATCTGTCTTCCAGTATGAAGAAAACAGGGCCAAGAACCAGGCACATACTGCAGAGATGCGACGGAGGCTAATTAACGCTCAGAAAAACTCTGAGAAGTGAGCTGTACTGTAGTTGGGTAGCTGCATATCAATATGGGCACTCAGTTGAAAGTTGACAATATTTCTTTCAGATCACCATTGTTCGACTTGTGAAGTGATGGCAAAATAAGAATACCTAAAACATACTCATTCCCAGAAAGGCAAACTAAATGTGTGGAAAGGGGGGGTGGGAGAAGTGGGGGAGGGAAGATTACTCACAACTTAATTTTTGAATTCTAAATGAAAATTATTGTGGCAACTCTTTGTCCTGGCATTGTTTTGTTGACTGTTAAGTAATGCTGAATCAATCTATGTATTCAAGGCTGTTGCATTCCCTACCTTGTGTTGAGCAGCATTTGTTTCTTCATGTTTAGCAGTTGCTCTTTCATCTCTTGCGGATTTTTTCCTCGCAAAACATTGAATGAGTCTTCCTTCACTCTTTGCAGTGTTGTGATAACACTGCCTAAATGAATTATCAAAACCATTTTAAACAGAAGTGTCCTGAACTTGGAAATTGCCTACGAAGCAATAAATGGAGTTCTAGTACTTTTATTCGAGCCCAAAGGATGAAATGGCAGTCTTGCATTGAAAAGATTAAAAATCTTCTGTGCCAACCGTAAGCACAGCTTAGACTGTTGTAAGATGATTTGTTCATCATATCCAAAGCATGTTGCTTTAGACATTCAGAATGGAACTTTTTCAGGGATTTACAAAGTATTGCCTCGATTTATGTTGAGTAGAATCAAAGTGTGCTGAAAGATACTGAAGAAGAGTTCTGCCAAAAATATAAGCTCAATTGTTCTTCCACATACTATGGTACAAAGGTGAAGTGAATTTATGAGTTGCTGTTGAAAAATAACTTATGTGAAAGTGAAAGAAGGGATAATTTTGCCCTTTAGTTAGATGAGTCAACTAGTATTGTGCTAACCAAGCTGCCTTGTTAGCCTACAAGTGTTCATTTGCTATCAAACTGCAGAAAGTCCTGAACAGTCTATGAATGCAGCAGAACTGATATTGGAATACTGTTTGTTTATGCTGTAACGGAGCTGCTTCTTTGCGTGTCTGACGGATTCACCTTATGCATTGAAATGACTTTTCTAATCGCCTAGCAACAAAAGACTATTTAAAATAAAATCCGTTTTATTAAGCCAGTTGTACTAAACGTTGTCCTCAAGCTTTTTGAGGAGACGGTGCCCTATTCTACAGTGAATTCTACAGTTTATTGTAAGAACCGTGGTTGGCACTCAATCTTCGAATTAATTCATGCACCTCTTTTTGGAACAAAGTGATATTTTTGTGATCTATTTTGAAGAGATTGTCCAGATAGAAGAATGATTTTACTTATTTTTCAGTACTTGAGTTGACCTAGTTAAGTTTGTGAAGCTTGACCGCAAAGGTTTTTCATGTAAAAAGTGAAAGTGAGAGTTCCAAGAAAAACTGAAACAATGGCTGCTTGTTTTGACGTGTTCTCTGATTTCTCAGAATAAGTAAATGATATATCATTTGAATTAAATATTTGAGTGGTTGGAAATTGTGCAGTGTTTTTATTGCTACTCTTTGGAATAAGTTCACAGAGTACTTTTTAGTAAAAAAATCCCAAATGGGGAGCTCTGCATCCTTGATCCTTCTTCCATTTCTGGTGATGACAAAATCTACTTAAGGCAAACTCTTAAATAGAATTTGGTATAATCTTAAGATTACACTTTAAGATTACACTTTATATTTAAATTTAAAAAACAATTGAGACTTGTCCTAAAGATTAGGTTGAGAAGCTGATACCTTAGTGCAAAAGCACTGGAGTTATTCTTTTTCATCAGCTCCCACGAGTCTGGATCTTTCACTAAAATAGTAACGAAGTAAGAACTCGAGAACTATTCAACATAGCTTATTAGTCACAATTATATTTCAAAGATTCGTTTATTTTACAAATGAAAGCCCAAGTGTCATGCACAATTTATATTGATACTTTGAACTACATTTAACAATACATCCATTTTACAAAACTTGTTTACCTAGTGAAAGTATGATCGCATTGATCCCTCTTTCTCTTTGCTTATTGCTTACTAGTAGTGTGAGAGCAGGTAGCCCACTGACTTCTGTGGTTTTGTTTCCCCCCCCTTTTTTTTTGAGAAGGGTTATGTTGCTAATTTGATCTTAAAGCTGAGAAAGGTTGATTATAATAATACCTAGAGTTTATCTGACAGAAAAAGAGGTTAAAGGTGAAACATTAAATAAGTTTGTTACTTGCTTTGTAAAGTGAGCCTGAGAGGTGACTAGGGGACATGGTCGGTGAAGTAAACCATAGATTTGGAACCAGTTTATCTTAATGTCATTTGTGTACGGAAGCATTTTCTCCTCCTTATTCTTTCTAAGAGTAAGTTCGAGAGAGATGAAAACAAATTTGATGGAGCTTTCTGTTGCATCGTGCCTGAGAAGCTTTTAGGCTCTTTGCGTGGAAAAGTGAAGGGGGGAAATATCAGTAGAAAGGGAAAATGTCAGCTGTAATACAGACCTGGCCATAGCAGTGAGGTTTTCCACATTCATGTAAAATACAAGTCTGTAGAATCTAAGGACAGGAGAAAAGAATGAGGGAATGATAATTCTACCCAGCAAAATCCCTTGAACGTTACTAGAAACAGCTGGTAATGCTGTTATCAGCAGTATAACTCTTTGCTTCCCTATTTCTGACACTTACTTCCCACTCCTCCAGAAAAGGAGTTAGTGTGAAGTCATAAAAAAGAGGATTATTAGTAACATGATAAGGGAGTTTTAGAGTGGGCTAATTTGTTGTAGTATCTTTTCCTCAAGCTATGTGGACTTCAGTGCTTTATTAAAAATAGGATTTGAAATTCACTGACATTTTTAGTGTACTCTCTCTTCCCAGGAAATCAAGTACTGATGTCTTGTTTTTCTTTTCTTTCAGTAGGAGGAAAGATATTCTGCTGAGCAGCAACAGCATAACGTACATACTGCAGGGCTAGCTTTTGCTCTGGTGCTAATCTCTACCCGCAAAGTCACTGTACTGGTGCTCAGTTCCTACTAGGAATAGTTTGAAACAGTTGTCCGTCAGGGAAATTAATGTGACATGTATTCCAGTGAGTACTCTGTAGCTAGCCTGCAGTAAATTAACTCTAGACACTCTTAATCTGCAGTGAATGCCCTGGCACAGCATAGCTTGCTTTGCCTCACAAGCATAATACCACAGCATAAGCAGCAGCTATGGCAGGCTCCGTGCTGATGGGGAGATAAGCATTCAGGACATCACGGTCTAGTCTTTATCCAAGTTCTCTTTCATTGAAGAGCTATAATGCTGGCTTTCACATACTTTTTACACCATTTTGCATCTCATCTCATTTATGGCCTGCATCTCTTACCTAGTTTTCCGATTTTTAAGTTTTTGCATCAAGGGGCCAAAACGTAGCACTACTTGAATGTTAATGTACTGTGGATATACTGTTTGTCTTTTCCCTGTTTCATTGTAGTTAATAACACGCTCAAGTAATTATGGCACAGCGATTTGTTGCAGACGGGTAGCACGGTATGAAGACTATGTATAGGCCCTAGATCTTGTAGCAAAACCTAGATTCACTTGAACTGACTATTTGTACACTTCAGGTAAGGACTGTAATCCTGTGAGTGTTATACCTATATGCTTTTTCCCATCTGATTTCCAAATGATATTCAAACAGTTGGGGTAATTGCACACAAACACAATAATGAGTTGATAGTGAATTTTGTAGGTATCTAGAACTTCCTGAAAATCAGGCTGTGCTCAAAAAACTAAGAAACGTAGTCTTGATTGGTGCACGCCACAGGAGTGCTACTAAAGTATGCAGCTGCAAAGGTAGAAGTTAGGCATACTGTAATTGTGAATCATTGCAATGAATATTTCTGATGTGTTGTATACTTTGCTAAAGCCTTATACCACATGAACGAAGTGGCATTTCTTAATGTTGTTGCCTGTGTTTCGAAAGAATACATGATGGCTAATATTACATCTATCTGATATAAAGGAAAACAAAGTTCTGTGGAATACCTAAAATGATGTGAACAGCATGAAAAAACAGGCCATCAGAATAAATTTAATTAAATAATTATTAATACTTGTGCCGAAGCAAAGGGGATTCTCTGCCTGGACAATGGAATGAATTTTAGGGCTGTAGACTTAAGCTACACCTTCGATTTTATTAATATTCACTAAAGAAAAAAAGACATAGCAAATCTTAGTGGTCCTGTCAGAAATGTTGGTTATTTTGTGGAGACTTTCACTTGTAATTTGCTAATTCTAATTCTACTCAGCATAATAGGAGTAAAAGGTATCTGATGAGGTTAATAGTCTGTCCTCTTTCATAGAGGTCATTGCATCAGTGAGGTTAGTAGGTATCTGGTATACTCTGCAGGTATTTTTTTTTTTCCGTAGTGCTACTTGCTGATCAGCGGAACCTGCTCTGTAGTAAATGGAGATCTATTAAGATAAACTTTTAAGTGAGTACTAAATGCACATCAAGTTCCTCAGAACTATTTAAGCTGCTGTGTACCAAAAACATCAGTGGGAAGAAAATACCCAGCTTTAGCCTGGCTTTGCCAAATTCACCCCCAGCACAGGACTTAACCATTTAGAATCCGATGATTGGTTTTGGCTTGGGAAAAACGTCAAATGCTTTAAAGAATAGAGATGTGCGTAAATAAGTTATATTACAGTAACTAGCACGGGGCTAATGCTATTAAACAGTGCTTTTCCAGGAACCTAGATAAAACCAGCTGGTCCCCAAAGCGATCGTAACAGTACGGTGCTGAAAGAACAGTTACAAAACATATATTTTGGTAGTCTGGAATCAGCGGTTTAATGGCAATAGCGCGTTCGTAAAAAAAAAAAAAAACAACTGTGATTAAAAGCTATTCTTGACCTTTGAAGCCAACAGCCGAGGGCAAGATTATTTGGACTGCAATTAAATACCTGAAACACGGAGCTAATTACCCGTCCAACAGCAGGCTGGAGTGGCTGTTCCTCGCCTTTTTGAGGAGGAAAGCCGCGCTCGCCTCCGCGGTCAGGCAGGTGCTCCCGGAGAGGGGGCCGCGCCGCTCGCAACCTGCGGCTGAAGCCTGCAGGGAAGAAAAGTGCCCTGGGCGTTTTAAGACTGTTTCACCGGGCGTTTTAGGAGTGTGTCGCG